ACCTGGGGCCCCTCCACCCCCAGCCCACAGCTGGAGGCCATCACCCACCCCCACAGAGCATCATCACCCCTCCCAGCCCCTCACCTGGGGCAAAGGAAGCACAAAAGGCAGCCAGCAGCCAGCAAGTGTTTATTCAGTCACACACAGAACAAGTCCCAGAAGGGAGTGAGTCTGCTCCAGGGCTCAGGGCCGCTAATGCTGCCCCTGGCACACCTTGGCACTTGTTCCCAGAGTCACGCTCCTCAGTTCAGTCAGGAACAGTCAGTCGGTTCCTGGAGCAACAAGCTGCTGGGCAGAGATGGAAACTGCCAAACATGAGGAGCAAGATGCAGGACACAAGAAGACAGAAGGTGGCAGCTGGCTGACCAGTACGGGGGTAGAGAGAAAACAAGAGGTGAGCAACAGGGCAGTGAGAGGATGGGGACAGGGAGCCCAACGTGGACATGGAGGAAAAAAAAGCAGCAGGGAGAGAAGAAAAGAGGCAGCAAAGAGGAAGAAGGAGCAGAACAGAAACCAACAAAGAAGGATGAGGAGCAGCATAGAGATGCAGCAAAAAAAGCTGGGATGGGCGGCACAACAGCCATGGAGGGGAAAAAAAGGGGGGGGTGTGCAGGGATCTAGACCAAGCAAGATGGGAGAAAGACAAAAAAGCTACAAAGTACAGGGCACAGAGGGAGGAAAAAGCAACAGCGATGGGGAGTCAGGACAGCAAACGATGGAGGGAAAGGGCAGGGAAGGAACACAAAACAAATCACATAGCTACAAGTGACAGGACAGAGAAGGAAGAATGAGGAAACAGGGACAGAGACACAGGAAAAAAAAGAGACCTGGAGCCAAAAACTAATCCTGATGCATACAGAAAGAAGAGGGGGGTATTCTAAAAGAGGGGAAACAGAGACAGAGAGATGGAGAAAACACAAAAGCAACAGACTACAAGGCATCAAGAGAGGAATTACTGAATAGTCACAGAGCGCCAGCCAGAAACAGGCCACAAAACAGAAAAGATCACAGGGGGTGTGGGGCACAGAGGAAGGAATTCACAAACCCGGCACATGGAGCCAGACAGAGAGGCAAAAATTAAATGGTGAAAAGAGACAGACCACAGGGCAGAGGGAAGAATTGATAAACAGGGACAAGGCACCAGACAGAGCATGATGGAGAACAGGGGAAAAAAAAATAGCAGCAAGCTACAAAGAGGGAGGAATTAAAGAACAGTGACTGGATGGAAGACAGACAGAGACACATGGAGAGAGAAGACAAAAGAGCGATGGGCAACAAGATGGATAGGGAGGAAATAAAAAACAGCAGAAGGGAGTCAGCCAGAGAGTAAGACACCGAGGAAAAAGGCCAGACAGGCTATGAGGGACGGAGGTAGGAATGAAAAACTGGGGACATGGAGCCGGAAAGAGAGAGATGGAGATCGCAGGGAATAGCAGCGGGTGCAGGAAGAAGCAAGAGGAATCAATAGGAACAGGGAGCTGAACAGAGAGGGATGGAGAAAGGCAACAAGAGCGGCAGGGTACAGGGCAGAGAAAGGGAAGACCTACAAGATGGGGACAGGGAGATGCTCCAAGCAAAACGGAAGATACAGGTGAGCAAAAAAAGTTGAGCAGCACCAGTAAGAGAGGAGTCTAGGAGGAAGACAGGGAGGGACCAGGACACACAAGACAGATGAGAGGGGCCCGAGTGCTCGGGACTTACTGCAGTTCTCCGCACTGCCAGGAGAATTTGACAGGTCAGACTCTTCCTTCTGTTTGCCGTCTCCATTCCTCTTCTACAGCTCCAGGTGCCTGGCTGTCCTCCACTTATGAGAATATATAGGCGTCTCGCAGCTCTTACGAGGTGAGGCCTGCTAGACACAGAACCTCATTCAATCACACACTACGTGCAGGAGTAGGACAGAGGAAAGAGAGAAACTGATAAGTGAGGAGCAGAACGGAAGGGTCGAGAGAGAAACGGACTGAGGAGTGAGAGTGATACAAAAGGTACAGAACAGGCTGGAGTGACTGAGGAAATAAGATGCCAATCAGGATGAAGAACTAGAAAAGGAAAAAACAGCACTAGCCTTCAGAAGAGAGACAGAGAATGAGAAAAAAAGAGAGAGAACAGGACAATAGCATGGAGAGGAAAAGGCAGAGCTAGAAGAAGAGAGAGAAAGAGGGAGAGGGAGCAGGACAGAAGAGAGAGGAGAGCAGAGGTAAAGGGAAGCAAAAAAAAAAAAAAAGATAGAGAGGGCAACAGGGCAGGGCCCACATGCACATGAAGGGCAACAGGACCCCGTGGTCCCAGGACTCACCACAGCTCTTGCTCTCAGCGCTGCCAGGGAAATTTACTTCAGACCCTTCTTTCTCCTTCTCTCCTTCCTTCTTCTTCCGTAGCTCCAGTCCTCCCCCCAAAAGAATACGCGGGTGTCTCTCGGCTCTTCCAAGACGTGGCTTCCGACACACACAGCCTCGCTCGCTCGCTACGCGGCCGTTCCGCACCTGGGGTAACGCGCACAGACCCTGGGCGCACGCTGGCGGTCCGGCCCGCTGCGGACTGTGCAGAGGGCCCCTCACTCACCCGGAGAGGCAGGCGCTCTCCTCCTGCAGGGCCAGGCGGCTGCTGCCCATGTGCCCTCGATGTTCTCCGTCCTTCCCTTTCTCTGGCCCCTCCAGCTCCAGCCGCGGCGGCTCCCGCCCGCTGCCCACGGCCAGGAAGGTTCCGCCCGTCCCTTTTGGCCCCTGAGCCGTGAGAAGCGCCAGGCCGGGCAGAGACACCCCCAGCTGGGCGCGGTCGGCGGCATGCCCAGGGCAGGAACTGACCCGCGCGGCCCCAGCGCGGCCTCAGGAGGTGGGACAGAGCCGGCAGCAGCAGGGACCGTTACTGACACGGATCGGCCCTGGCACTTGCTCACGGGCGGCACCGGCGCTGCCGTTCCGTGCTTTGCGCCCTGAGCACCTACCGACAACGGGCGGGGGGGCAGCGGCGGCATTTCCTTCCCGGGAGGCAGCGACAAGCGCGGCGGCAGCACCCGCAGGCCCGCAGCACCGATTGCATGGCCGGGACCGGCAGGCGGC